GGTATGCTAGGCGATAAAATATCCGCGATGCGTATACTCGCTGGACGAGTATACGTTGTAGCATATAAAGCTGCGCGAACAGGAAATGCTGTGACCGCATCGACGGATGAGTGACTACGTAGGCCCAGGTCGCCAGGATACTTTCTCGCAGAGAGTCCTCAAGCGACTTCAATCCACATTCATCAAGTTCTCGAGGGACATATAGCCGGTCAACAGTACTCTTGCGGTACCGGTATTTCTTATCCCTCGTCACGGATTCGTATATCCAATTATTCTGCTTATGAGCCAGAGAGAGAGTAGATGCGGTAAAATTATGCGCACATAATTGTACACACAGATAGAGCCTAGCACTGTTCAATAGAGGAACAGTATAAAAGAATTAACCTGTTCGAGTCCAGTATGAAATAATGGTCCGGTGAAAGTGCAATAAATGAGAGCACAGAAAACTCGGGCCTGACGACTTCCAATTTTTGCATTCTGGCAACGTCTAATGGAAACCGAAAAGAGCCGAAAAATCCACAGTCTGTTCCAAACAGCTGCAAAGAAAATTACACAATTCAGGTAACAAATTAGTGAAAGTTCCCCTTGTCATCACTCTCTTAATGAGACGCGTAGGCACTCGTTGTTAAATCGATAAATGAGCAAGTGCCAGTAGCGACTAACCACCACAGGCTGATCCAGGGGCCCTTACCCCAGCGACACAGGCACCAGTGCTACAAAAGTCTGGATCTAAAGCTAAAAAACTAAAAAAAAAACTCTCTTGCGCACACCCTCTCGTCCATCTCCTCTTCCCCAGGAGTCCGTCCTGGATCATCTGCTACTCACTGGTAAGACTATCGGAGGTTCCCGCTTTAAATCAGTGACTGCCTTGGAACAGTACAGAGTATTTTCAAAACAAAATTTACCCAAGGAGTGAACTCTTTGTAACGGCTTGTCACTGATTAGCCATAGCTAGGGGAGGGAGAAAATTTTTGCCAATAGCAAATAAATTATCAACTGGTAACCTGAGATAGATGGAGGAGAGGCAAGGCAAAGGAGGAGAGGGAAAGGGAGGCGAGACGAAGGGAGAAGGCAAGACCTACGCGCAGCGAAAGACTTGTTGCCTCAATTTTCGAGAAAAAAAACATCGCCCTAGAAGCACTACAAGAGCCAATTTAATTTCAAAAAACTTAAAATTAGGGATAAAACTACAGATAAAATTAATACACAGTTTCTTCGCAAACTATCCACTTTATTACTTCCTTACGGTAATATTCACTATCCAACGAGTTTCTTTTTTTTTGAAAATTCCAAGTTCGTAGTTTAATGCTTTCAAGTTGTAATACAAACTCTGCTTGGAATTACAAAAATTTTGTAACTTATGGCAACTAAAAGGCAATTTATGGCAATTGTAACTTTAAAACGCCAAAACTGGACGCAAAGTCCGGAAAGCAAATAAAATAATAAGGAACGGCCAGAGCCAACGAATTCTTAACCCCTGTGTGGAGCTGATTTAATGTGACGAAGTTTTGAAATAAAGGAAAAGACTGTAGGCTCAGTTCATCATGTGGCCGAAACCGCCTAACATTATAAGTAAAAAGTCAAAATAGTAAAAGGCTTATGAAGCAAATTTCAGGATTGCTGTACGCACTGACCAAGCAAGGCGCTTCATTCAGTGGTAATCTTACTAGTGACGATAGTAAATGCAAAATAAAAAAAAATACTTAAAATTTACCAATTGTTGTGGTAGACATAGAAGTGAACGTATAACACCTCGTCCAGTTTGTGTCAGTTTGAGCAGGTGGATTGCTGCAACATCAACTTTCCACATACATATGCTTCCATCCTGAAATTAAATTTTATCAAAAAAAATTTTTTTTAAAATGGACTAATTATCTGGGTAAGAGACAACAGAAGGAAAAAGCGGATTATTGAATGATAACTAAGCAATTCTAACAAAAAATATACGGAAAACCGACAAAACGAGAAAAGGGCAGGCTTGAACAGCTATTCAGAGATTCAAATCTCATTATTTCATTAAAAAAAGACTAAAAAAAGACTACTTATCTGGGTAAGGTGAGAGGCAACAGATGGACAAAGCGGATTACTGGATGGTACTTAAGCAATGCTAAAATATAGAGAAGACCGTCTACGCGGCAGAAATATTCGTTTGAACGGCTGTGCGGAGACTGTGTGGATGAGAGAGGCCCAAAACAGAGAATAACGCAACAATGGCAAAAAGAAATGCAATGATGAAACTAATATCATTATTATGATAGCTGTATTCTGCATGCATTGCTCCTAATATAAGACACATAAGCAATCTATCTGCACATACTTGGCCACCAGTGAATATGATATCGCCTGGACCATCACAGATGGCAAATGGTCTTGTTGCATGACCATAACATTCATCCAATTGTTGCCAACTGTCCAATGACCACATCCGTAAGCTTCGGTCATCCGAAATTGAGAACAGGCGATTATCTTTTCTCAGTAGACCAAAAATCATACCCTAAGAGATAAGTTCATCAATGGAAAACAAAACTGATCAAAATTAGTTCGCTCAAGCTAAACAGGATCACAAAAATCGGCCATTCAAATGACTTTCTACAAGGTAATGTTTAAGTGGAGTTATGAATGAGGGTAACAGTTTTGTACAGGTGAATACAGTCATATATGTTCCGATTATGCGAAAAAGTACCGTGTGATAACTGAGGATATGTGCCGGAGAAGAGGATTTCGATGGATAAGAAATGATGATATCGCCCATTACTGTCCCAATTATAGTACGCAGGCTATTCCAACTCTCTCCTTCCATTATCGAATACAATCTTCAATAAAAGAAAAACACGCATGAAATGGCAAATTGAAAATTTAACAAAATTAAAGTGGCATATAAGGAAATGAAAGATATAATACGTTCTGGTGTGAAAGACATAACAGAAGAGATATGTGCAAGGAAAAGAAACTGGGCCAGTTATTTAGTAAGAATGACTGACAACAGATGGACGAAACGCGTTATCGATTGGTGCCCAGAACAATACCGATCCGCTAACTCGATTATATGAAGTGCTGTGGATGAGATGACTCAGGAGAGAACTCGGTGGCGTGGTTGTCAGCTTAGTCACCGGAGAAGATCAACAGCGCGTCAGTGACGGAAACGTCGTATCAGGTAACAAGTGTTGCATTATGACTCCCTTCTAGGTAAGTGGTGTATTGGCGTGCAAGCGGCTTATATAAGGCCGCCGTGTTTGTATTGTAAAGCAGTGTCGATTCCGTGAAGTGCGCCGACCAGGACGACTTATGAAGGACGAAGGACCCCGTTGCTACCCCAAGTAATTACCGAGGAGCCGACGACCCGACCTGACAGGCCGCAGCACCCGGCTAGTCGATTGGAACGCCCAGGCCAGGAAACTCAACACAAGCATAGGAAAATGAAGCTTACTCTTACTCACTACTTTGTCTGTGTTTACAGCTAAGGGATGACTCTTCTGTATTTATCAGATAAATCATGTGTCTTTCTTGTCTGAATAACTGCTATTTTCCTCTTTTTTTCCCACCTATCTACTCTTGTTCTCTCTCTGATTTCCATTCTCTTTCTCTGTTTTAATTTCAAATTAAGTACGCCAGAAATTTGCTTACATAACACTCTTATAACTCGACTGCACGAAAATCTCTTCCCAAATACAGATTTTTGCGTTTCCTCCGAGATTATCCAGTCGCATGAGTTGAGTGGCATTATTTATCGAGAGAAGGGCAATCTACAAAAAACTGTGGTTACCATCCACGTCAAATATTTTTAATTTCAGAAGTAATTTCTTCCTATGAAATTAAAAGTAAGCAGAAGTAATTTCTTCCTATGAAATTAAAAATGGGATTGACGGGCTTCAATAAATTTCAACTTGCGGCTTGTCCCCTTTTTCCCCCTTCCACGAAGACCAAAATCCAGTAGTTCTGTAATATCGAAAAGTCAAAATCCCCATCCTTATTCGGCATTTTTTTAAAAGGAGCCTGAGTGGTAACAAATGCCAAGCAACCACATGCTGGCAAAATTGCCTATTTCTTCTTTCAAGAGTTGTTTAGAAGCAAGCTGATGGTAGGATTTCCACCTTTATGGCATATACCAGTACCAATTTACCATCGAAACAAATAAACCAAATGCACAGGGCTGGCTGCCTCCCCTCCCTCTCCCCACCCCCCACTCCCTATCCCTCACGATGGAATCGAACCCCCGACCTACTGCACGACAACAGTGCTACTACTTTTCGTTACGGAAATGCTGGCAGTACTTTTATTGTACATCAAATGAAAACCTGCAATGAACTGTCCGTGTTCCTTTCTTGTTTTTCACTAAAAACGTGCAAGGCCTGTATCCAATCTCTGAGATAAAATATTTGCTGCTGGGGAGAATCGGATAAAAAGCCGCGTACCACCGCAAACAATCTTTCGCCATAGGCAATCAAAACATCTAAAAAGACGAGCTACAACAGAACGAACAAGCTACTCTGATCAGCTATTGTTTTATCGTACAGCATCTTGAAACGAACTTATAACTTAGTAAAAACTCAAAACTTAATCCCACAATCAGCCGCGGTATTGAGTTAAGACGTATACGACTTAATGGACCGACACGTCCTACCTCACTCTTATCTCCTTCTCTCACACTGTAATCTATCACGCCTTCGCCGTTTACACTTTCATAGACAACCTAGATGCTACAATCAAAAAACT